TGTTATATCATCTTCATGTATTACCACTTCTCCACATTTTTTTACAAAGTCCAATAACTGGAAAATTTCACCTTTAGTTTACGATGTCCGAAAACTTTCAAATTCGGTAAAGATAATTTTAACCTAGCTTGTACCGTCTGTTATACATTAAATGTGCACGCGTAAATGCTAAAGCATAAAAAAAAAAAAAAAAAAGTTTGTGGCTTTGAGGTCCAGGTTATAGATCATTCCGGATAATAGATGTCTGAATTACGGACTTTGTACTGTAGTAGTTTTTTTCTTTTTATCATATACATGTATACGAGCCAGTTTCCCTTAGAAAGTCCTCCACGAAGGCATCCCTCCCGTTAGGCTGATAGCCCTAGTGTGCTTTGCCATAATTAAATAAACCAAACCAAACCTTTTTATCATATAAGGCATTATCCACAGCATCATAATTACCCTATATTTTACTTTTTTAGTGCCCTGCTTTCAGTCTATGAATGTTAGATATGTCATTGATTTAGTATAGGAAACCATTTTCCATTTAAAAGTTTTTTTATTGGTTACATTTCTAATTTTCTGCATTATTTTAGTCTGATACCAAAATTAAGCCCTTTATGGTAGTCATAAATAAATGTGTTGATAGTTTTAGTCAGATATTAGTTTACTTAGAAGATTATCATAATTATTAGTTGCTGATATTTGTTTATATACTCAGAAATAATAGTCACTTGTAAAGATAGTCATTATGAGAGATTTTGCCGTATGTTCATTTTTTGTTTTATATGGAATGTTATAAATCACTTAACAATTTACTGAAAATAATAAGAATGCTTCTTTGTGCAAATCGGCTTTTAGTTCATTAAAATAAAACAGAAGATTTGAACTTCAATTTATTTTTAGGATTATATGTTTAATTCTGTGTTTTAAAATGTTAACTATCTTTTAGTTGCAGAATTAAAATATTAATCAAAAACAAACGATACAAGATCAACTCAATTTTGAAAATTTACATGAATTATGTCTGTTTTCCATACCTTTTAAAGTAGCTCCCTTTCACATTTATTCACTGATTTTGGAGCATTTGCCATCATTAGTACACTTTTTGGTAGTCTTTTAATGTCTATCTAGCACTTTCTGTTAAATGTCTAGCCTGTGTATCCTTTCAGAATGAAGAGTGCAGCTAATCAATATCAGTTTATGAAATAAATTCACTCAGTTCAAATTTAGCAATTAGAAGGAACAATAAGTTCTTTTTTGTTTTATTCTGTGGCTTGGTGCATTTTCATGGTGAAGCAATTCCCTTTTTGTAGAATTGAGGGACATTTGTGAAAAAGGTGCTTATACATTAATGCTAATAATTTAGTTGTTTTTTTACAGATGAAAAGGTAAACAAACTTATTGGATTTGTGATTCTCATGACTTTTTTTTAAAGATTGTCAAATTATCAATATTTATCGTAAGTAGCCAAACATTATCAACATATCGAAAGGAAACATATTTTAGCAATTTAAAATACAAATCTTAATTATTAAAGAAAGGTTATATGGTACATTAAAAAAAAAAAAAAGCACATTTTTCATGAAATCATTTTGTAACTTTTTTCACGTTTCTTCTCTCCATGAAAGCATTGATCTGTTTTCGGTTAAAAGAAATTGGAGAATTGCTCAAACTTGGCGTCACGAATATTCTCAGCTTTGCACACCACCTATCCATCAAAGGCATCTCATCATTATTCCCTTTAGTGATTTTTTGGCAAAGTATTGTATTTCTGCAGAAATTGTTAGCTATTTTTCTTTTACTGTTGCCATATTCCACAATCACATATTTTAAAATTGAGTTGAAAGTAAAAAATATCTCAGTTTATTATAAAAACTGGTAGAACTTGGAATGCAACAAAAACAAAAAATGATGTCATTGCTTGACTGAAGGAATTTTATGAGCACAGCTATGTGAAGATTGGGTATGCTTTTGTTGTCAGAATTAGGGACATTCTGAATACTTTTTGACTCCTAAGTTGGTTGTCATAATATGCAAGTACCATGAAAAATATCTTCTATCTGCCTCAAAACACTGCATAAAATGTTTTGTTATTTATCTAAATATGGAAGATAAATTCCCAATAGATGATCTCCATTGCATTTTTAAAAAAAATTGTCAGCATAGTTTTGTTGTCTTGAAATAGTTTCTAAGAATTCTTGTTAAAAAATTGCTTTTTTGGTGGTAGCATATTTTTCAGCATCTTTTCCCATCATGTTTAAAAATAAAGTAAGTTCTGCTGGCAGAATGACTTAAAAACATATCATATGCTCATCATTTCATTGAATAATGATTAAATTACCAAGTAATCATATTTATTAAGTAAAAGAAGGTAAGCAACTCATTTGTATTTAGGGTAGCTGGTAGAGTAAGCACTATATCCTCAGCTATCAATATCCATACCATTTTAAAATATAGGCTTTGCCTGGGGCGAGTCAGAACCCTTATTTATCAATGGCCTGTGTGGCTTTAGAGAATTGGTTAAGGAAGGACTCCAAAATGCTACAAATGCTTAAAGTCTGTGATTCTGTTAAGACACCTCAGCTCAATCTAAGAAGAGTACTTTTGGTCAAAATTATTAGAGTCAAGAGTCGTTAATCCGGACTCGTCGGGAGTTCGGCGATTCCGGATTATCGATTTTTCCGGATTATAGATCATCAGTTTAAATCTGGTAAGATGGCATGCAGAAATTACAAAATTAAAAATATGAAACCGTAATTTATGAAATAAAGAACAATTATGATCTAAAGGGTATCAAATTTACAAAAAGAAAAAGCTCAATATTTATTTGTTTACTTTATTAAACATTTCCTTCAATGTAAGTTGCTTCGTTTCATGTGATAATACTTTCTCTTTAATTCTATTAAACAGACATAATTTCTTGTTTAGTTACAAAGTTCCGCTGTTCAAGTCCTATAATTGCTGTGTTGAGAATACCGACTAATTTGTCAATCGAAATGTTTTCGTTTTCAATAACCTCTGGGTCACTTTCTTCACTATCGGAAGCGAATTATAATGACGAGGAACTTGATTTAAATCATATCTGAATCATATCTGACGGAGTACATCGAGATGAAATACTACACTTAGTATGGAATTATAAACCAAATAAAATAAAAACATCTGCCCTGAAGATAAGGATAGTGCTGACAGATTAACTTCCAATCCGCCGCGTGAAATTGATAAACAAATTTCGGATTTCAAAACATACTTTCGCTTTGTAGATACAAATTACATATTAGTAAATATATATCGGAAATTCTATTGACATAATATTCTAATCTATCATAATCTAATAATGACGCTTCTGCCCCCCCCCCCTGCCGCAGAGCAGCGTGAAATTGATAAACAGATTTCGGATTTCAAACATACTTTCGCTTTGTAGTAAATATATATCGGAAATTCTATATGACGTAATCGAAAGTTCAAGCTTACTTTTATAAAATTGCTCTAACAGTCTGCAAAAAATAATAAGCCGGATCCAATTCGAAGATTAAGGAACAACGCAATCTGCAACATTAACTGAATTAGATAACTTTAGCTTAGCGTATAACTCCGTTACACATTAAACGCGCATGCGCACAAACATATTCGCAGCCGTAAGGGTCTTACGCGCATGCGTGAACGCGACGCATGCGCAGAAAGTTTGTAGCTTTGAGGTCCGGATTATAGATCATTCCGGATTATGGGTGTCCGAATTAATGACTTTTGACTGTATTTTCATTGCTGAGAAACATGGTTGTCGATATAGTGGTGTTTCGTTGCAAAATATTCATTATACTAGTTGTTTTCAAGTGACATCATAAATTTTTAATAACTTAAATATAAGTGTACATAGTATATTAAATATACTTATAGTTTAAGTATACTTAGTTGTACTTAGTAATTTTCATAGTGTACAATTTTATTAGCTATTTTTTGAAGAATAACATACACATTGAAAAAATGCATTTTTTTACAAACTGTTTTTGGTGGCCACACTGCAGAAATTGCTGCTTATTATGCCTCAAGCACAATATCCTGACTGACGTGATGCCTGAACTTGAACTGTGCTAAATAGGATTTTAGGTGATGGTGAGCCATGCTGTGTTTTTTGTTTCATTTTGTTGATCCATGCAGTATTGTAAAAAAGGATATTTGTGATCCACTAAATCAGTTTTCAGCATGGAGGCTTTTCTTCTTTTCATAGGTACAGACATTGCTTGGAAAATGGTTTCTTTTCCAGCGAATAATTACATATTATGCCCAATTTTTCGCAAAATTTTCTTTTCGTAAAATACCTTTTCTTGTAAAAGAACTATAGTTTCCCTTTTAGTTCACGGCAGGTGAAAAATAGTAAGCATGGTAAATATTTGCAGTGAAAAGCCACTGTAATTTAGAAGTGAAAATTTTCACCAGCTGAAGAAACGTGAAGTATGAGCATGCACTAGAAAGCATTGTATTTTTAATATCAAAGATAGAAGAAATGCATATGTGCAGTTCAGTAACCGTTCAAAAAATTACTATATTTTTAAAGCACAAATTTTTACCAACCAAAGAAACGTGAATTATGAGCACAAACAAAAAATTGTTATATTTTAAAAGTGATGCTCGAAGGTCATGCCAGAAATGTGCATAATCAAAATTCTCTGCAAGACTGCTGCAGAAGACAATTACCATTTATTTGATTATATTTTATTAATAATATTCTGGCTGTTTTATGATTGGTTTCACTTCATCCGTTGCATAGGGTAAGAGTGTTTAGAATGAAAAGTCTTTGTTTTTAGATTCAGAGTAATAGTAATTATTTATTTATTTATTTTTTAATATTATAATATGTAATCACTTGAATTTGGGGTCATAAATTTAGTTGTGTTAACAGAGCAAAAATCTGCCGTATTTGTATTGCATGAAATTATTAGCTAATATTTCAGATTATGACGATTGTGTTTCTGATATGTGTGTTTAAATATATTTTAATACATTCTTTATTTGCATAGGTTACAAAATAGGTGTTATTGAAAATCTTGGAGCAACACTGGTAAGAATTTATGAATTAATTGAATTTTTTTTAGTGTTGCTTTTCTGTTATCATATTTCAGAATTGTGCTGCTTCATACATTTTTTATGATTATGATATTTTTTTATGAATCTATTTCTTAAATGCTAATATATAAACTTTTTCAAAACGTACTAGAATGTATAGTAATGCATTTATGTTTCTTCATTATAGTAAACATTTATTGAGCAAAAAACATGAAACAAGAAAGTTGACTATCTTCTATTAAACTTCCAAGTTAAATTTCGAAAACATGGACCATGATGTTAAGTAATATTACATGACGAGGAAAGACCATTATTGAAGCACACAAGCAATTTATTCAATTTCTTTAGTGTAGGATTTATTTAATATACATGTCATAGCTGCTAGCTTACCAGGAGAATCCTGTTTTCTCAACATGTCTTCCAGTCTCCTTGTAGATCATCAAATCTCCTAGTTTTTAATTTCTTAGCTTTTATTAAGAAAAGCTGTTAAGCAAAATGTGGTACTTCTCCATATTTGCCGGCGCAGGTGATAAAGTCTCCAATAATGGTACTACTGATGCCTAACGGAATATCTTTGCTGGTAACCTTTTATCCATCATTTTCAAAACAAATCACTGCTATTTCGTATCAGATTCATGATTTCTTTCAATACTGGCATACAATTACGTAGAATTTTTACCATATTGTTCAGTTTTATGCTGTAAGGCCATTCGCGGTAATTAAGTCAATTAGGATGCAATCACACCGCTCACCTGAAGGCGAAAATATAAAACAGGCAGAGGCAAAGGGTTAAATCCATCAATTCTAATGAGAATGCACTAGCGAAGTAAAGCACTGCAGTTTTGCATAATTTCTGAGTAAGCTGTTCGTACGAATTGAAATAATTCTTGCATTCCAAATTAAGATTTAACTTGAAATTAATGTAGATAATTACTAAGAGCATTTTATTTATGTAGCATAGTTTACGTGAGATGATATCACTTGGGGTCACGTGATAGGAACCAGTGAATCAGGATGTTGAACCATGAAAGTATAGTAAATTCTTAAATTAATGTCTTTTGTCAAATTTATTGTCTTTATTTATTGGCTTTTTACAAAATTTTAAACAATATTAAAATGTTTATACCTTCAAAATAAAAAATTCTTAAAACTAACATTTTTATGTGTATACTGTATGTTGTCGCCAATAAAAAAGTCTGCTTGGCGAGATTTGCGCTGGCTAAACGGAAAAGTATCCAAAATGTTTCCCCACTGTAAATGAAATTTATTGAATTAATGAAACTTAAATTATGCAAATTGCATTCTTCCTGCCCTATTAAATTTCAGAATAAATTTTCGTGTTAAATTTTATTTCATCCAAATTGTAGTATTTTTTTCTTATTAATTTTTTTTTAATTAAAGTTTCATTTGATCTGAAATATCTTAATCTGCTGCACACTTTTGTGGAACTTTATAAAGTAAAACTTTGTAAGGTAGCTGGTAGAATTTTGTAGAACTTTATAATATATGAAGATTCATCCAAATATTCAATCAGTAAATATTTGTATTTAATTTTATTTTCCTTTGGTATATAATGCATTTCTAAGTTTATCCATGCAAAAATACTATGTATATTAATTATTAATTTTATTTTCACCTTTTAAAAGTGCTTCGACAAATAAAAGTTTTCCTTCTCTACTTGGGATTTTCTTAGTATAAAAGTGTAAGTTTATTAAAAATTGAAATTAGTCAATGAACATAAAATTAGAATATGAAATTAAATATTCACAAATCATAATAAATATAATTAAATATTATATTTCACTATATATTATTAATATTTCAATAACCTGAATTATGCATTTTAAAGTGAACTTCAGTACATTTGGCGTTCTATGGAATGGTGTCGAGACTTAAAACCTCTTGGTTTCTTCTGCGTTTTGCACAAAAAAGCACCTAGTTTTTCAGATTTCTATGTTGGCAACTATGACATATACAGAAGCATTTAATGTAAATTTATTTTATTTAATAGATTTAAAGAACATGATAGTTTATTTAGAATTAAATAAACAACATATAGAAATATATCTGAAATTCATTTTAAACATTCTTTCGTGACCACAGCTAAGCAGTGTTGTTAAGAATGCTTCAAACACATTATCATCGCTGATGTTAAGTAATATGAACAGAAAATGAACGAGCAGAAAAAATTTTGACTAGCTAAAAAAGCATAAGCTGTATATATATATATATTCAAATTGGTAACCATAAACATTAAGAAAAATGCTTGTGTGTTTTAATAACCATATGTCTCTCTCCTAGGTTGAAACACATTGATTCTCATTTCTTGTAAAAATATGCACAAATTTTGTAAAAGGTGCTATAACATAGAAATGCCACAATATATGTAAATTACTTTGGTATACTATTTAGGTAGCAAAGGGTCACATATACTATAAGAGTATTCACTTGTTAGTAGTGATGCATTTAGCATTATTTGATCAACAAAAGTGAATTCAGAAATTAGTGCTGTAAAAATTAACTATCCAGTGCACCTTGAAGTGAAATTTTTTTTTTCAAAATTCAAAAGTATGTGGGGGTTATTGTTATTATTTTATGTTTTTTTGATGAAATCCCATCAGACATAATGGGCATACCAGCAACAATGGCAAGCATTCATTGTTGCTGATATCAGCACTGTTGCAACTTGAAAAAATGAGAAGGAAAATAATCATTTTACGAGTTATCAATTTATATCTCTGATTTTAGCTTTTTGTATGTGTGTGTCTTTCATATTATTTATTGTTTATTCACTGTTTTTAAGCTACTGAAAAGTTTTGCAAGATTTTTTGTAGGAAGTAAAATTCGGTACTTTTACGTTTTGCCGACGCAAACGATAAAGTTGCCAATAATGGTACAACTGATGCCAAATGCTATATCTTCATTGTAACCTTTTACGCTTCATTTTCAAAACAAGTCGCAGCCTTTTTTTTATCAGATTGATTATTTTTTTCAATACTGGCATACAATTACACAGAATTTTACAAGATAGTTAAATTTTATGCCCTAAGACCATTCGCAGTAATTAAGTCAATAAGAATGCAATCACACTGCTCACCCGAAGGCGGAAATATAGAAAAGGCAAAGTTAAGGGTTAAATTCATCACTTCTAACGAGAATGCACTGCGGTTTTACATAATTTCTGAGTAAGCTATTTGAATGAATTGAAATAATTCTTGCATTTAAACTAGAATTAGATTTTTGTAGCATAGTTTACGTAAGATGAGATCACTTGGGGTCATATGATACAAACCGGCGAATCAGGATGTTGAACCATGAAAGCATAGTAAATTCTGAAATTTTCTTTTTACAAATTTATTGTCTTTATTTATTGGCTTTTTACAAAATTTTAAACCAAATTAAAATGTTTATGCCTTCAAAATAAAAAATTCTTAGAACTAACATTTGTTAACATTTTTTTATGTGTATACTGTATGCTGTCGCCAAAAAGTCTGCTTGGCAAGATTTGCACCAGCGAAACGGAAAAGTACCTAAAATTCTTACCATTTGAATTCTTAAGATTTTGCAAAGAAAGTTGGTTAATTACTTTATTTATTAGGATAATTAATATTTGTATTAAGAGGTACTACTTATTTCATTGTAATTTTTTATATATATAATACATTTTTATTGAATTTTTTTTATAAAAATGTAATTTTCTGCAGAGTAAAACTGTGCGGTTTTTAAATTTAATGTAAATTTAATGTTCCCTTTAGGCATTTATCCAATGCATTTAAAAGCCAGACGAAGGCTGCCCACATAGCGGGTAGTATCCAAATAATTAAAAATAATTATAGAATAAGAAACAGAACATATTGCAACAAATCAGCAACAGAAACCCTAATATCAGTTGCTATTTAAGCATAGCATATTTATTTGTAGTCTTTAAATGCAGTTAGCATGCAGTGAAATATTATTATTCAGTAGAAATTCATAGGGAAAATGTCCGACTCTGACTTCGACTCCGACTCCCTCATATCTATATATACATATACGCATGGGTTTACAGGTTACTGTTTTAATATAAAAGAAGTAATAGATGCTACAGGGAAAAATTTGATGGTATGGCAAAATATATATATTAATTAGCATTTATTATGAAATGGAAAATCTGGCATTAGTTTTTTCTAAGAAACAGTATAGCTTTGGCAAGATCTTCTGATCTTTTCTGTTGGAGGGCCATAGATATGATTTGATAAACTTCAGAGCTGAGAAGAGTCTTTCCACTCTATTACTGACGTACTGTTTACTATTACTGTTCCACACTATTACTGACTTCTTTTAACTTTTATGGATAGATTTTTATAAATTCTAAAAGAGGTGTCTTGTAAGCGCAATCGTATTTCTCTATTTCTTCAAAGGACGTGTAGAAATCTTGTTTGTATTTTTTCATTTTTATATCTAAAGGCTCTTGATTCTTTATTTTCATTCTCTTTGCCTTAACCTTTTCAATATTATCCAAAAATATTTCTCAAAATCTAATTCATCACTAGAAGAGGATAATAGAGACTCAATTGCAATATCTGCAGTTTGACTGTCCTCATTCGAATTCTTCAATTGTTCTGAGAATAATTTCATTCTTAATGAAAGTTCATAGATGGCTTTCTTTGCCTTTTTAATTTGTTCGTCATCCAAGAAAATTTAGTGTTTTGGATCTACATATATTGAACCGAGCAAAATCTCATTATCTAGAAAGCTAGTTTCTCTTTTCTTCATTGAAGCTAGTTTCTCTTTTCTTCATTGAAGAAAATGACAAACTTCTTCTGCAATAAACCCCTCCATTTCAGAAAGAGCAAACATCACCTTCTTCCATTCTCGCCTTCTGTCAATTCTACAGATTGTAGCTTTTTTGTGGCTACATATGGTGTAGAAAGAAGAGTTTCCAATTCTGCAAGGTTATTCCACAATCTTTCTGTTAATGAAACATTAGGGTTATCTACATCTTCTAAAAAAAGTTCTTAATTCTAACAACCTCTTAGTTGTACATATAGTTGTAACTTCTTATAGTCTGTACATATTTGATGATATCAAATATGTACTTCTTTATCGCGTTGCTTGATCAATAATTGCTCCTTTTCCTGCTCGCTTCCTAAGAATGGCATCAATTTTAGGAGTTCCTGCTGCTATTTGAATGAATAATGAATCAATTTAATCATTAATGGCAAATATCACATCTGTCCTGCTTCCTTATATTTATTTATTAATATGTCAGTAAAATAGAAATTAACTATTTTTTAATGTATATGATCCATAAATAAAAATAATAACTCAGCTTATCATTAATTTTTTTTCCAGTTCACTTTAATTTTATTTCAAATTAAAACTCTCCAACAAAAACTGGAGTCTGAGTCGACCTGTTCTTAGCGATTCCAGCTCTTTTTAGTGATTTTTAGCGATTCCCACTTTTAGCGACTCCTTTTAGCCCAAATTCTGCCCAACTCTGATTGCGACTCCACAGCCCTTAAAAAATCTAAAATATCATGTACATGCTGCGTAGGTAAATTAATCACTTGTGACATAATTACAAAAACTAGAATTAAATAAATGTTATAGTTTTTAAAGTACATGGCGGTTCGAAAGTTGCACACATTAGAAAAAATTATGGAAATTTCAGAGTGGATATTAGTGGCAAATTGTTTCAATGGGGATAACGTCAGTACTGTTACAAGTAACAGATCACTTGAAATATCAGTTACTGTTAGCTTTTAAAGCTACTTGTTTGTTTTAAGATGGAGATAAGTTTTTCTCAATGAAACAATTTCCCATTAATATCCATTTTAGATTTTTCACAATTTTTGATAGATTTATGTGTACAAATTTTGGATTCTCTTTACTTTTAAAAGCTATAATGTTACTTAAATGTACTGTTTAGAGTCTAACATTTCTGGAAAAGTGTTTGTTAAATGGAAAAGTATTATTTTTATAAACTTTGTAGTGGAGTATGAGTAATCATAATTTTAAATTTTATGGGAAGAAATATAGCCTAGAACTAATCTAAATTCACATAGCTCAGAATAGATAATAATCACAAACGTTTTTTACATTTATAAAGGAAAAGATCCTATATTTTTTTTCTCATTTTAAAGTAATTTTTATGCTTAAATTGTTGACAAAAAAGTATTAATGCAATTTAAATTTTATCGGGGAATGGGTATAAAATAATTTGGTACTCTTCTGTTATCGGGACCAAATTCAGAAATGTATGTATGTATGTACTCATGTAAACATGTATATGTGTGTATACATGTAGCACACACATATGCACATATACATTTGCATATATACATGCATGCATTTCTGAATCCTGTCCCGATAACAGAAGAGCACCATAAATTTGTAAAAAGTTGTTTTTATGTGTGAATAAGTATTTTTTAAAAGTAAAGGAAAATGCGAATAAAAATTTATTGATTAAATTATGTGCTGAATTGCATGAATTGCTGTCTGGATTATTTAAATAATTCTTGCTTTTATTACAGGATCAGTTTGATTGCATTGACTTATCTGATAATGATGTTAGGAAATTAGATGGGTTTCCTCAGCTGAAACGTTTAAAAACGCTTTTGTTGAATAACAACAGAGTGTGGTAAGTATTCCATTCTTTTTTAAAGTGTCATAATTAATATTCTTGAAAAAATAGTTAATAACTTAGATGAAATATGCATAATGAATGTATCCAAATATAATAATTTTTTTGATAATACTATATTTAACTCTGGGTTTAATGGTTGCAGTTAGATAACCAAAGTTTCATTTTAATACTAACAAAGTATCAGATTTAGTTTTGCTGATTTTTATATTGTTACATTATGCCTTTTTCAGTGCCCTTAGATACTTGTCGTTTTTACTGGTGATTACAGTGACCACAGCTAGTGATTTTCATAAAATCTAGCATTCTAGTGCATTTATTGTCAGATCAAATGCTCTTTCCTTCTTCATAAAAATAACTTAAGAAAGTTAGTGATTTTATGTCTCACTTTGAGTGCAGAATATGGTATTTAACAAACAAAATCAGTTTTATTTTTAATATCTTAATCAGTTTTATACTAATGCACATTTTAATGTTTTAACATTCACCCTATCATCCTATAATAAATACAAATTTAGATTGCTATTTTTATTTGAAAATTGCCTGTATCTTATTATTTTATTAGCCCACCAGCGGCCGAGCGGTAAAAGTCGCTGAACATTGGTAATTTGGTCTGAAGTTCGAATCCTGCCAAGGAGCTGGCTGCATGGGCATTTACATGGTTCTCCCCATGTGTAACGAGTATGTGAGCCAATTTCCCTTAGAAAGTCCTCCATGAAGCATCCCTTCCCTTAGGCAGATAGTCATCAAGGTTTTGCCGTAATCTCGGAAAGCAAACCTTATTATTTCACCAGCAAGGAAGGAAAATGAACATGAAACAATTTATGAAATCTTGAGCAACACCATTTTAAAATAAATCCAGCTAACAAATCCTAGTTTTTAGGTAGTATATTCAGGTAAAAATGCAAGATCTGTAGAATGGTGTTTAGAGGAAAGTGCAATTCTCGAAAAAGGCCTTAAAATATTTTAAGGTAAAATACTATTGATGAATTCTAAACTATTTTTCAAAAGAATAAATTTAAAAGACCCTCTACTAATTTAGCCATATTAAATTCTGAAGTAAGAAAATCTAGCTATTTTTACATTATACTGCCATTTAAATTTTCAATATCTTATTGAAAAAAAAAAAAAAAAAAAAATTAATATAATAATAATCTTGATAGAGAATGGTATCTATTGAGGATTATAGAAGCATTGATATGAAGTCTAGAATTCATGACTTTTATTCTAAAATTTTTTAAAACAAAAAGTACTGTATGAGAGTAAATGTTTCCTAATGTAGCAGTATGAGTTAAAACAGAACAGTGTTTATCATCTTATTGTTTTAACCAATGTTTTCTTGAAATAGTTACATATTATCTCAACAGAAGAAAAATATGAAAACAGAGACTAAAATAATTAATTGTTCAAATTTAATAAGTAAATGCTGTTTACATACTGTTCATAAGTAGATATAAAAAGCCATACTATTCAGACTATTTTAAAGCAGTGCTAAAGAATAAGAAATCAATTACAAACTCCCTTGAAGAATAAAATTTTTTGACAAAGGAAATATAAATTATTCATCAGCTATATATTTTACATTTAAAAAAGCTCACTAAATTAGCAAAGTTTGCTAAATATAATGTAGAAATACTTCCAGGACTTGTAATATAAAATGTAATGTAAAAATATGTGTAGTAAGTGTGTTCAATGAATAAAGTAGCTATATATAAATTGCATATAAAATACCTAAAATATTTGTATGTAAATGGAAAAATTCAATAACTAAAATTGTAAGTTGTTTGACATATTTATTGGGCATAATTTAGTTTAGTATTTTTAGACCGAGTTAACATATGATAGTAAAATAGTACAGTACAAAGTCCAAGATCCAGATTTTCCAGGACTTCCCTAATTCTGGATCATTAGTTTAAATCTGATAAGATGACATGCAAAATTCATAAAACAAAAACTATGTAATATTGAAGCAATTTTATAAATTTAATAACTAAAATTGTAAGTTGTTTGACATTTTTATTGGGCATAATTTAGTTTAGTATTTTTAGACTGAGTTAACATATGATAGTAAAATAGTACTTTACAAAGTCCAAGATCCATTTTCCAGGACTCCCTAATTCTGGATCATAGTTTAAATATGACATGCAAAATTAAAAAAAAAACTATAATATTGAAGCAATTTTATATCTCTTGGTTATTTTCATTTCACATGCCATTAGCTCTAAATTAATATATCTTAAAGTGTCATTATTTTCCCAGATTATCCATAAAATGGAAGTTTTTGTAGAACAACACTTTTAACAACTTTTTTGTCAACACTTTTACTTTGAAAAACATGCAAATTAAAATAGTCTGTGGACACGATTAACTTTGCCTGTTCTATAAAGTGAACTTGTCTGTTAATATTAATAAGTCTAATTGCACAATTGTCCACATAGAATGAGTTTTTCAGCAGTTTTATTGTACAGTGGACTGCAGTTTTCTAAATGATGCATTTTAGAGGCATTTAACAAATAAGGACGAGAACAAACTCCAAATGCAACTCGACATTATCTATAAATTTCTTGCCCTTCATGAGCCCAGCAAAATCTCATTGTCTAGGAAGCTAGTTTCTTTTTTTTGTAACTAAATGAATCAGTTTAATCACTAATAGCAAATATCACATCCATCCTCCTCCCTTATATTATTTATTAATAGGTCAGTAAAATAGAAAATAACTATTTATTAATGTATAGAGTTCATAAATAAAAATAATAACTCAGCTTGTCATTAATTTTTTTCAATTCATTTTAATTTCATTTCAAATTTAAACTGTCCATGGAGTAGAGTCGACCTGTTTTTAGCGACTCCAGCTCCAACTCCTTTTACCCCAAAATCTGCCTGACTCCCAACTTTACAGCCCTGATAGAGACTTGTCTTCATGAATCCTCAGAAATAGGCTGCAGAAGGACAAACAATCCTTTGGTTCACCCAAAAATTTCTTTAGCTCAGTTTTTAGTAATTTAATTTTTTTTTTTCTTTTGCTCTCTCTATTTTTATTTCTAGCTGCAGAAGCTTCTTGCAATAATTTTTCCAATTTACTGGAAATTTCTAAATACTTGTCTCTGTAGATTTCCGCTTCTTCAAAATCATCAGTGTACCTTCAGTTTTCAACAATTAATGACGGATAACCTTCAAGTCTCTGAAACTTATTCAGAGTTGCCAATTCTCCCGATTTTTGACCCTGCTCCTGCCAACCCAATTTGCAACATGTCTCCTGTGACGTTTTTGTATTTTTAAAATTTCTTACAATTTTTATGTAGCTTGGCTTAATATTTTGTTATATGCACCCAAAAAAATGATTTTTGGTGTCTTAAGGTGCTTGATTTTTCTCTACATTACATATAAAAAGAAAATCAGAGTGGGGTCATGTTGCATTAGCCACCGAGCACAAAGCAAGATCGACTTTGTTATTTCTTTTGTCTCACCACAGAGCTAAAGAACATTCACATTCTTTGGCTGAGTGCTGCAAGTTTCGCATGCTTTCAAAAAATACTTTAAGAAATTGCGATCTTAGTTATGTTTCCATAAAAAGATTAAAATACTCATGTACTTTTTAAAAATTGTGCACAGGTGATTTTCCTTCTATTGGTTCGTCAAGGAAATGTAATACATTTGCAATCTATGTGATTTGTTGTTCATATTTTTTCGATTGTGCACAGTGGAAGGACCAATATTCTTAAACATGTGGCATAAACATATAAACAGAAACATACAGAGGCTGTTCACACAATTTTTTAGACGATGTATATTGTATTTACGAAACTAAATTACATAAAATTCTTGTGTTTTAAATGTTCTATTTGACATCCCTTATTCTGAACTATCTTTCAACACCGCAATTTCCAGGATAATAATACCTTTTGAAGTGGCAGAAGAGGTATTCTATCCCATTCCTCCCGAACAGCTTTCCAGAGTCCTGTTAGGGTTTTCGGACAACGTTTGGATAATGCAGTTTTTAAAAGTTCGAAAGCACAAAAAATCCATAGGTGACACACCGTGAGATTTAGTAGGGATGTCAGTGAAGGGTATGGCCTGGCAGAAGAGGTATTCTATCCCATTCCTCCCGAACAGCTTTCCAGAGTCTTGTTAGGGTTTTGGGACAACGTTTGGATAATGCAGTTTTTAAAAGTCCAAAAGCACAAAAAATCCATAGGTGACACATCGGGAGATTTAGTAGGGATATCAGTCAAGGGTATGGCCTTGATACCAGTTTTTTGTTCCATTTCTTTTAGGAAATTTACAGTGGATTTTGATGTGCGACTGCTAGCTTTGTCCTGATGGAGTCTCACAGATTGATGGCACTGTGGGTAAAGTGATGGTATTTCATTCAGAAAAATTGGCGATAAAATATGTTCCTGATAGTATTTGGAGTTAATCTTGAAATTTTTTTCACTCTCTTTATTTTTAACTTGCCATTATAAAAAAACCCAGCAACAATCATGAATCCCTTAGATTCTTAACTTCCCCTAACTTTCTTTCAATTCTTTAAATTTTTTCTCCCCTTTTATGATAATAAATGGCTCGTTTTTTTGTTAAAATCATTTAAATATATCCATGCTTCATTTATTGTGATAATTGTTTTCCATTTTTCTTTGGATAAGTGTTTCTCATATAGAATTCTGCAGTGTGTCCTGCGTTGAGCGATATGCTTTGGAAGAAGACGATGCACATCACGTTTTTTTGCTTTCTTAAGATTGAAATCAACGTTTATCATTTTGTTTACAGTGGACACCGAGTATTTTAATGATTTTGCAACTGTCCTTTGACTAGGGGGATTTTCTTTTAACATTAAACAATGTGCCTTTGCAATAGTCGAAGATGTCTGTTTTTTCCTTGTATACTTGTTTGGAATTTTTGTCCCACTTGAGGTTCCAATTTGACGTTTTTTTCCTTTCTTGTTGATGATATTACCTATCGACGCTTTAGTTATCACAAAAACCATGACTCACATCGTTTTTGGATAACAGAGTATGCATATTTCTCTTCGGAAAGAGCGTAAATGTAGCCTTCAAACCACTGCTTTGTTAAATTCGCCATTTTGAATAAAAACAAAATTTTCAAGCCACAGACAATAATTTTGACTTTTAAAAACATAGTACAATTGCAATTACTTCTTTTGCAGGAAACAATTTTTTATTACCGCTTACCAAAATTGTCTAAAAAACGTGCGAACAGCCTCTGTATAAAAGCTCAAGGCCTGCGCTAATTAAATTGGAAAAAAGTGAAAAATAAATTTTTCTATGAAAACAACAGACCAAAATGTTTTAATGCGGAATGCCTATTCTTTTCCTTTTTACTGGAGCATCTGCTACTGAATGCTTTGGATCGTGATGCAGCTTTATTTAGAGAAATGTTTCCCAGATAGCGAAATCGCTAAGAAATGCTCAAATGCGAGGACAAAAACAGCTGCAATTGTTAGAGAAATGGATATGACAAGTAATTCTTTAGTTATTGATTGCATTAAAACATCTTTATTCTGCCTCTTTGTGGATGGAAGCAGTAATACTGATGCGAAACTGTATCCACTTGTAGGAGTGGTCTGTGGCAAGGTGAATTGAAATAACAGGTGAGTCTGAGCGGTGGTGATGTCACAGCCAGTTCATGCACGCTTGACTTGCAAATCTGATTGGTTATTCAAATTTGCAAGTCTTGCACCTGCCAACTGTTGTGATATTGCTGGTGCTAGCTCGTATCTCAGGCAGAAAACTGGACCTAGTGACTGCTTGTATCTAAAAAAAATGGTCTGTTGGGCACTCGTATCTCAAGGTACCACTGTATAGTAATATTTTGGCAACATTCCTCAAGGGCTGAGATTTTTTAAAATTTCATTTGATGGAATATTGACACTTATTTAATTAGTAAAATTAATATACTCTAAATAAGCATGAAATAATTCTACATTTTGCATTTATTCATTATGTTGTAACTTATAGTGAAGTCATCTGCTCTGTGGCTTCCTATTTATTACATTTTTCAAGTTTGTACATGTTTGTTCCATGTTGTTACAAGTGTTGTTGTATAGCTATTGTTTTATGTGGTCTCCTGTTTTCCATGTGGGGGGGGGAACCACGATTGCAAACTTATGTAATTTCATTAATTGTTTGTATAAGCTGTTTGTATAAGCTGTCACCTTCATATTTATTGATAATTTTAATGAATTATTTAATTTATTTATTTCAGTCGCATTGGAGATAACCTGCAGGAATGTCTACCTAATCTTGAAACACTGATTTTAACAAATAATCATATTCAAGAATTGGGTGATATTGATCCGCTAAATACTCTAAAATCCCTTACTTCACTGAGGTAAATATTCGTAGTTTTCATATTTTAAGATACAATTTTTTAATTAATATTTTAGTTTTTTAAGGGGGTGAAGTAAATGATTTAATACTATGTTGAGAGAAAATTTTTAATCTGAAAATGAATCTTCCGGGTTTTAATTTTTAGCCTTTACTAAAGAAAAGGTTTTTCCAGTAATAAATACAATTTATTGAATTAATGAAACTTAAATTTAGACAAATTCCATTCTATTATTTCTGATAATTTTCAGAGCATTTTTTATTGCATTTTATTTCATTTGGATTATATTTTTTATTACATTTTATTGATCTTATTAAGTTTTGCATGATCTGAGCTAACTTAATTTGTTGTAGACATTTGTCGATATTTACATCAAGAGTTAAGTAATATATAATCAATTAATATTTGTTAGCCTAAATGGACATTAGCACAGAAAGGCTATTTGTCTTGAAACGATATTTTTGTCGAATCACAGAATGTATGTATGTTTCTTGCACTTTGAAAAAAATAACGGTACCTAGAGTCTTCAAATTTTGAGTAACATAGTCCTCCACCCAAACATTCCCCACCTGGAAGCCCGATTTCGAAATTTCGAACTTGTTTTATTGTCTGTTTCATATTTTCTAAATCTTGAAAAGATAGATCGATAGAGGAATAAAAACAAATGATTTATATATAAACCAATAATTCATAATAATTTATAAGAAAACTTTCCATATACCATCTCCAAGGAACACCAATTCAATTTAAAACCAATAAAAAAAAAATTTTGGTCAGAATTAAAATTAGTATTTTAAAAACCGATTTCAATCTCCTTGTTTAAATCCTTGTTCTCCTTGTCTCCTTGTTTAAAAAAGGGCTGATAATGGCTTTGCTGCTTACTGCAGCCCAAACAATAACTTTAGGTGAATACACTGGTTTTGCTTCACTCAAATGGGGATTTTTGGATTCTCCAAATTACCAGTTTTATTTATTTATGAATGCATTCAGGTAGAAGTGTGTTTCATCTGTGAGCCAGATACAGCCAACATCAAAGCCTTCATTACCAATCATTGTGAGAATCTGATTTCCAGTCCTTTGTCAGTATTTTCCAAGTCAGTCCTTTGTCACACAGCTTGTATGAGTTTAGCCTGGTGACTCTGAATTTTGAATGAAAACATGTTTAGGCTATTTCTCGGTATTTTCTGCACAGCAGTATGCTTTAAACCAGTCTCTGCTTCAATTTTTTGGGTGGATTTTCCTGGATTTTGTAGGCCCACCAGTGGCCGAGGGGTAAAATTGCTGAACACTGGTAGTTCGGTCTGAGGTTCGAATCCCGCAAACGGGCTGGTTGCATGGGCGTTTTCATGGTTTTCCCCATGTGTAACGTGTATACGAGCCAGTTTCCCTTAGAAGGTCCTCCACGAAGGCACCCCTCCCCTTAGACAGATGGCCCTAGTGTGTTTTGCCATAATTAAGTAAATCAAACCTTGGATTTTGCCGAATAACTCCAGAAACAATGGTGACGTTTTCAAGAGTAACTGCGATTTTCCTGTAACCAACATTCCTTACCAGATCATCGGCACGTTGCCTGTCCTTGAGAATTTAGCGAAGAGCTTCCGAAGGGATTTCAGATCAGGTCCTGTGGTATTCCAGTACCAGAAACACTCATTGTTCAATGGAATATGTGATTACAACTTCTTCTTTCATTCAGTACGCTAGCCTCCTTTCAAGGGTGGAACTGATCACTCTTACTTTGATACTTTGTGAATAGGCCAGCATCAGCAGGAACTCTATCCTGCTATTGCTGGCACCTCAGGTAACCCCGATTAGGGAAAGCCTTGCATGGGATGCAACAAATGTAATCCTCTCGTGAGGAATTGCATGTAAGGGAAGATGTGGCTCAAGCCAGTGATGGGAAATAAAGAAGTTGTTGGAGATCATCACTCTTCCGCCTTTCAGAGTGCTTTTTATATGCACTATATATTGCGATTACAGCACCATCTGTTAGCAGCTTTTGTAACTATAAATTTACTTGTTATACTTCTATAACATTCTTACAGCATTCGCAATAAATGTACTACTTTTTGTATTCATCAATCGATCATTATCTTTGAGATTTTTAATTTTGAAATTAGGAACACCCTTTACATTACTCAATTTATCTCCACAAATGCTGTGTACAGGAATTATTAATGTTATTTTCATACTATTTGTAAAAGTACTTCGATAAAGAAAAGCAGTGCTTCATTGTTCAGGGTTTTCTTAGCATAGAAGAGTAAGAAAATTAGAAAATGAAATTAGCCAAAGAACATAAAATTGAGTGTACAGAGGGTGTTCACACGTTTTTGTAACAAATTTGCAAAGATTTATATATAAACAATCCTTAGGATTTTTTTTTTTATATGTTCAGCGTGATAGCCCTTTTGTTGAACTATCGTATTATATCTTGGTTTCCAAGCTAAAATACCTTTTCTTAAAACATCAAGTTGATTTTATTCCACTCCTTCTTCACAATCTTCCAGAGTCCATCCAATGTTTTGGGATGCCGCTTATAAAGAGCTTGTTTTGTAATCTATAAGAGATACATCACAGGACTTGGGTAGATGCATTTAAAGGAAATAGCTTCAATTCCAGTTTCATTTCTTATTTTTTCAAAAAACAGAGCAGTAGATTTACAGGTATGGCTTGGAGCCTTATCCTGATGGAACTTAACACGGATTCTTTGGATAAAGTGATGGAATTTCTTCTTTAAAAGTAGGTTTTAAGAACTATTTCTGATAGTAACTCAAATTAATTTTGAAATTTTCTGCTACTTTCCTTATTTTAAGTTTTTCTGTTATAATCCAGTAATAAGCAGGAAACCTTTAGAGAAACTTTCCTTGTTTTCTTTGATCTAATATATTAAGTATTTTTGTCCTCTTGTTTGGTGGTAAATATATCTTTTTCTATTGCAGTCAGATAAGTATATCTGAGGCTCATCAATTGTAACTATATATTTCCATTTTTCACCTGCCAAATAATTTTCATACAGCAATCTGCATATATCTGCAACATGTTACGGTGTTAGGCGATGAGCATAATGTTTTTTTTTGTTTTGATTAGCTTTAAATCAGATTTTATAATTTTCTTCACAGTTCCTACAAATTACAGATATAGCAGGAGCTCTTTGGGGAGTTGAATTTTCCTTTAAAGCATGAGATGCTACTTTAGATTTAATAAGAGCTGTACGTATACCTTTGTTGGGTATGCATTTTTTTTGCCTTTTCCCCAGTCAGATGTAAATTTGCACAGTTTTTTTTCCTTTTATATTTTTTATGTCACTTGCTTTATGTGTAGAAATATTAAAACTATGCATTTCACATTTAAAAAAAAATTGAATAAGAGTATTTCTTTTCGGTTACATTTTAAAGAAAATATTTTTAATGCTGCAGACCTTATTCCAGTTTGATGCCAGTCATGTTTGTGTTTTAAAATTAATATATACATTCATGGAGAAAATTAAAATCATTACAAAAATGTGTAAACACCCTTTGTATCTGATTAAATGCTTATACAGTCAAAAGTCGTTAATCCGGACTCGTCGGGACTTCGGCGATTCCGGATTATCGATTTTTCCGGATTATAGATCATCAGTTTAAATCAGGAAGATGGCATGCAAAAATTACAAAATTAAAAATATGAAACCGTAATTTATGAAATAAAGAACAATTATGATCTAAAGGGTATCAAAATTTACAAAAAGAAAAAGCTTAATATTTATTTGTTTACTTTATTAAACATTTCCTTCAATGTAAGTTGCTTCGTTTCATGTGATAATACTTTCTCTTTAATTCTATTAAACAGACATAATTTCTTGTTTAGTTACAAAGTTCCGCTGTTCAAGTCCTATAATTGCTGTGTTGAGAATACCGACTAATTTGTCAATCGAAATGTTTTCGTTTTCAATAACCTCTGGGTCACTTTCTTCACTATCGGAAGCGAATTATAATGACGAGGAACTTGATTTAAATCATATCAAAGACAGAATGAAATAACTACACTTAGTATGGAATTATAAACCAAATAAAATAAAAAAATCTGCCCTCTGAAGATAAGGATAGTGCTGACAAATCAACTTCCAATCCGCAGTGTGAAATTGATAAACAGATTTCGGATCTCAAAACATACTTTCGCTTTGTAGATACAAATTACATATTAGTAAATATATATCGGAAATTCTATTTGACATAATCTTTCTAATCTATCATAATCTAATAATGACGTTTCTGCCCCTCCCCCCTCTGCCCCAGAGCAGAGTGAAATTGATAAACAGATTTCGGATTTCAAAACATACTTTCGCTTTGTAGTAAATATATATCGGAAATTCTATTTGACATAATCGAAAGTTCAAGCTTACTTTTATAAAATTGCTCTAACAGTCTGCAAAAAATAATAAGCCGGATCCAATTCGAAGATTAAGGAACAACGCAATCGGCAACATTAACTGAATTAGATAACTTTAGCTTAGTGTATAACTCCGTTACAAATTAAACGCGCATGCGCACAAACATATTCGCAGCCGTAAGGGTCTTACGCGCTCTCGTAAACACCTGTGCGCATGCGTGAACGCGACGCATGCGCAGAAAGTTTGTAGCTTTGAGGTCCGGATTATAGATTATTCCGGATTATGGGTGTCCGAATTAACGACTTTTGACTGTATATTTTGAATCAAAATTGAATGACCAATAGTTCAATAATGTGAACAATGCATTATAAAGTGAATTAAGTTAATTTGTTAGTTTGAAGCTGCTTTAAAATGGTGTCATGAGAACCTTCTAGTTTCATAAAACACTTTCAGTTTTTGAGATTTCAAGATTTGCAACAGTCGTATGGAAAAAAATGAAGTACATAGTTGTAAACTCTTATGTTTTACTGGAAGATTGGATTGTCATAGATCCTCGAATCTACTGATTTTTAATTTTTAGCCTTTATTAAGCAGCAATTAAATTATGCAAATCTTATTTGCTTTGAATTTGAAAGTGAAGTTAATTAAATTTCACTGAGATATAAACTTACTCAAAGATTTGAAGCTTCAAATTTGATTAACCTTTTTTTATTTGTACTCGTCAAAAGAATGTTATATCTTGAAATAAGAATAATCGCTTTTTTGGGAGTACATTTATATGTATACTGTTTTTTTCACAATTCAAAATTAGTAAGTCTAAAAAAGAAGCAGACCAACTAGTGATAATCTACAGTTCATGATAAGTACTAAAGATGCTTTATAGATATTTCTTTCAAAAATTACAAACTTCATCAAAATTGAAACACCATGATGTGTTGTAGCTGAATGTTGTCTATTAGATATAAATAAATTTATCATTATTAGCATACGAATGATCAATATTATCAATCAATATTAACATACAAATGTATGTATTTTTTGCATGTATCAAAGAAAAATTTAATAAATAAAAAAAATTGTCATTATTTATTATCCAATTTTGTCTCACTTGAAATGTTTTCACAATTTGTTTATTTTCAGGTTAAGTAAAAAAAAAAAATACTTAATGGTTAATTCAGCATATTAAAATTATTTAAAATAAATGACAGCCTGTAAATTTAATATTGAATCACTAATATGTTTGAATTACAAAGTGTAATCAGTAGACATTTCTAGTATCAATATATAAACTTCAGATGCAAAATAAATTGGAATTATTATTTCTGCTTATGTATGTTTTGATAAATTTTTGGTAAATAAAGTTAGAAAACGTTGTTTTGTTAAACAAGTTGAAAAGCCTGTACATTTAGTTAAAGAAGTTAAAATGCCTGTACATTTTGGGGACAGTGGAGGAATGAGTCCATCAACTGCTCTCAGACATGTTCTTTTTGGCTTGCATCCAGTTTGAGTACGAGACCATTAATCTAATACATTCTTCCTTTGTTCACATTATAATATGAAAATGCATTACATATCATCAAGATATTATGTATATTAAATGGACAGTTTTAAAAAAAGTACACTTGTTATTTTCCTGAATTTCAGCTACCCATTTTATTGAAATGCATTTTATATTATTCCATTGCAAACGTGTCATGTTGCCAACTCTCTCAGTTTTACCAGTGAATTTCTGGTTTTCATCATGTCTCCCAGTAGATCGCTGAATTTCCCAGCTTTCGAATTTTTATTTTTCATTATTTATTTCTTAATTTTTATCTTTAGTCAAAATTCTCTACCCCCACCTCTAATGATTTTCACCTTTAATGAGAGTTTTTCTTATTAAATTTTATCAATGTACGTTTCCAAGTTTATTGATGCGAATACTATGTGCATTAATTATTAATTCATTGCATTTAAAAGTACTCTGATGAACAAAAGTTTTTCTTCACTACTCGAGATTTTCTCAATATAAAAATATAATCAAATTAAAAAATGAATTTAGCCAAACAACATAAAATTTGGAATATTCAATTAAGGGCTAATATATTTTACATCAGAATTGATTGCAGATAGTTCAGTAACCTGAACTATGCATTATAAAGAGATTTAAAAACAGTTTGGAGTTCCATTGAAATGGTGTCTCCGTGCAGTATGGAAACTTCCCAGTTTCTCTCAGATTGATTTTTAAGATTTCAAGGTTGGCAGCTATGATGTGTAATTGAAAGAAGAATGATATAGTCTAATATTAATGTTGTGGCCATCTGTTTAGAGATTGTGGTATTGCATGGAAACTTTATTAAGCTGTAAATATGTATAATGATGTTAGGTAGTTAGCTTAGCTAATATATTGTTACGAATTTGGTATTTAAAAAGCTAATGTTAGTTCAGTTATAAATTAAATGGTTTTATTTCTCGCGCAGTGCAGAGCGTGACGAATATTAAAAGAAAGCTAATCCGCAAATTCGCTACAATCAACAAGAGCAGTTTTCTAAACAACAAACTAAGCAACTACTGCGAACTGAGATATTTTCCTCCTTTTATAAGATTTTAAAATCACGCGCTGGAATTTTCTAGTACTTTCTCGAAATCAAAAAGAGATATTTATTTATTTAATGCACGCGCTCTTGTATTTTCAATTTTCCGGCTTAGCTTTCTTTTAATATTCGTCACACGCTGTACTGCGTGAGAAATAAAACCATTTAATTGATAATTGAACTAACATTAGCTTTTTAAATACGAAATTTCGAAATACACTGCTCCCTTCCCAAGGACTGCAAACCCGGGCAGTACAAAAGAAACTAATTAAGCTTAACGAATTACCAAATGCAATTCGTACAAAGACGAGCTACAATCACGCACAATCACAAGAACAAGTTTAGGTTTCTAAACAACAACAAACTAAGCAACTACTACGAATATTGAGATGTTTTCCTCCTTTTATAAGATTTTAAAATCACGCACTAGAATTTTCTAGTACTTTCTCAAAATCAAAAAGAGATATTTATTTATTTAATGCACGCGCTCTCGTATATTTCAATTTTTTCCGGGTTAGTTTCTTAGCTTTCTTTTAATATTCGTCACGCGCTGCACTGCGCGAGAAATAAAACCATTTAATTGATAATTGAACTAACATTAGCTTTTTAAATACGAAATTCGTAACACTATGTCCGATTTTAGCATAAAATTTAAAAAAAAAAAAATTTTTAATAATATGGTATTTTTATAACCTAAAGAGAAAATCTGTTAAATATAATTTCAGCATTTTTTAATTTAATATCCTGGGAAGATCACAGGTTAAAGGAAAAATGAAGCAGAAAATGTAAATATGTATAAAAAAAAAATTAGTACCAAAATGTTTATATCAGTTTTATTTGTGTGGATATTGTTAACATTTTTTAAATTTTAGTTTGACTTCAGGAAGCTAAACAAGAAGTTAAGTCACTAAATAAGAGTTAGCTGACTTTATCTTTCATTTATGAATTGACTTTTTTAATCAGTAATATTAAGTATGGCACAAAAGCTTTAATGGGTAATGGTATGTTTCTTGCCCAGCCTGAAACAAGATAATTCCTGTTTATTGCAACAAAAATGTACCAAAAAATTATGTTAATTTAAGCACTTTGATTTGCATTTAATTGTATATTTCTTTATTTTTTGGAGGTATCTATAGTTTTCAATTTTTTTCATAGAAGAAAAATTATTTCCTTTAATTTTTTTTTCAGTCTGATGAAAAATCCAGTTGCTTCTAAGAGACACTACAGATTGTATATTGTTCACAAGCTTCCCCAACTCAGACTATTAGATTTTCGTAAAATCAGATTGCGGGTAAGTATTAAGTATTCCAATTTATTATTAAACTGCAAAAATTATGAATTTATATCTTTGAATCTTAAATGTATGTTGCAGTTGGTATATTCATTTTATAATGATTGAAAATAATTTAGCATCTTATTGTATCATTAAATCAGAACAATTTTTTGTAACTTAATTAGGAAAGAGAAGAATCTGCAAAACTATTTAAAGGTAAAAAAGGAAAGCAGCTAGAAAAAGAGATAGGGAAGAGGAGCAAAACTTTTGTTCCTGGTGCCACTCTTCCTAGTACATCTAGCAAAGAAAAGACCAGTGGGCCAACAGTTGCTGATGTTGAAGCTGTTCGAGTATGTTTTTGCTTTTCTGTCCTATACTTTGATGCCATCATAAGAACATAGTTTTATTTAAAAGCAGGTTTTTTTTTTAATAGAATTGTGTATAAATAAAAATGGAATAATATGTAATTCTATAGTATGAAGCAGGTTGTAGCGATGGAGTAGTTTAGTAATCATGCCATTCTAATACTGAAATCAAAATGATTAAGAATAATGTAGGACAGTTTAGTCAAATCAGTATTAAAGTTAACATATAGAATAAAATTTGTGTGTCTGTCAAATATCTAAGATCTGTATGTGCCCAAGATTTGAAAATTTAAATAGATAATTGCTTTGTAAAATTTTAATACCGTAAAGAAATTAGACACTTTCAGTTTGGTTAAAACATGATGGTGTCAAATTTAAAATTAGACATAAAAAACAACCTTTATTTGGCATAGATTTTGAATTTTTCTGTTTATTTAAAACTTTTAAATTAAGTTTTATTCAAAATGTGTGTAAAACTAAGGTTGCAGTTTTTTTGGTAGAATTTTAAACACCAAATAAATTTGCTATAAACATAAATATTTTTAACCTTTATTCTGTTTTCTTCTTTTTTAAAAATTTCTTTCCCCTTGTGCAGGAAGCTATCAAGAATGCAACAACACTGGAAGAAGTTGAAAGATTAAAGCAGATATTAAAATCTGGTCAAATACCCAGGAAAGATGCTGGTAGTTTATCTCAGAATAATGGTTAGTTAATGTCCATTTTTTAAAAGTTGAGCATTTTTTCAAAATCTAAAAATTATCATCAGGTTTCACTTAGTATGAAAACAAGTAATTGATTATAAAAATAAGATTGTTTTATAATTTATGATAGTCAAGGTGTGGCTGAAAAGTGGTAAGACTTCTGACATTGTACAGGATTCGGCAATCCCGTGGTTTTCCCTGTGCATGTAAGAGGTTGGGTAACACCTCTTTGACTTTTAAAATGAGTCCATGCTCTTTATTGTAAATGCATGGACATTATTGTATGATGTTTTGCCTGCAGCTTGGGAAGATGTGATCAGAACTTTTTAAAATGATAAAATGGCATATGGAAGACTTTCTTTACAGAATGAGAAAGCTTGTCTATCAGACCATTTTCTGACGATGTGGGTAATTTAGTGAGTTTAGTTTGAATTCTGAAATCAGGCATTGAAAAGGGATGTGGTGAACTTGTTCCAAAAAGTCTCACATTTGAGCAAAGAAAGAATTGAATGTGTATTTTTATCTTCTGTGATTTCATCAAGAGTAACATAAATTTTCTCAGTGAAATAGTAACTGATGGCAAACTCTGGGTTTTCTGTTATGGCATGAAAACCAAACCAAGCGTCAAAGCTTGGCGTATTTGCGACTCTGCACCAGAAGAGTGCAGGCAAGAATTAAAAGGCATTTATATGCTGTGCTACTATAACGTGCCTTGTCACACAACACTTTTGACTCAAAAGGACGTTTCAGTAGTTTAATTACATCTCTGTTCTCTAGATATGAGTCGTGCAACTTTTTCCTTTTCTCCAGATTAAAAATTTATCTGTAAGATTGCTTGTGAAAAATGTTTCTGAAAGATGTGCGAACAATATGTAAAAAACTGTCAGGTTGGAAGCAGTTCCGTTTCAACTATTCCAACACTGCTGTGAAGATTAGAAGTGATATCTGTGGTGAACTTCCCATGAAAGATAACAAAATACTACTAATTTATAAATAAATACATCTCGGTATTTTTTACCATGCTTCATATAACTTTAAAAATGTAGAATAACTGACTTTTTATCTTATGAATTACGTATTTGTTATTAAAATGAACTTTTTAAAAAATGACTGTACTGATGAGAAACTTTGTTTATAAGTTTATTTACTTAGTTTATAGGAGTTGATATGGAAGAACAAATGCAAAAGTAATTTGTAATTCATAAATAAGTATAAATAATGTGATATTATATTTTAGCTGAAGAAATGGAAACAGAATCTAGTGTTGAAAATGGAAAATGAAAGCTTTCTGGTAAGCATTTAATTGATTCTATAATTTTTTTTAACACTGTGCTGGAAAATATTTTTTTTTGTTTATGTAATAATTGCTAAGAAAGGACTGTTCTTATTTTTCTTAGATTTTTAGTTGAAATGGATATGATTACTTTTGACATTTGGTTTAAATTACATTTATGACAAATGTATGGCATTTTGATTGTTATGTTATGATTGTCTCAAAACCAGTGTCTTGTTAATCCAGTGCTATGCATCAGCATTTTATAATATTATACAATATAGTTTATTAAATTCACATCCATGATTGCTCATATTTTATATTCTTGAAAACCTGGAAAACACAAGAATTAGCACTGTTTTCCAAAATGTTTGAAAAGAAAATATGTATCAGTATCACATAAAAAAAATATCAAATAGTATGAAAATCCATCAAAACGTTGATCTCATTTGTATATCATCGTAATGGAAAACTTTATCATAATCTGACGATCATTAATTCACTATTTATTCCTCCTGTCAGCAAAAGCTAAAAGCGAGCTATCTTCATTAATTGGGGAAGATGTATATTATGTCACGGTTCGTACGGTCCTTAAAAGTCCTTAATTTCGGCCAAAATCGTCAGAAGGTCCTTAATTTTTAATCATCTGAAATTTCTGACTGTTTTTACGACGGCCATTTTGAGTGTGAATTAGCATTTTGGAGGAATATTTTTGGCAATTCTCTGACAAACATCGTTATCTTTTGAATGGAAGAATGCGTTCATGGGTTATAATTTGTTTCTATTTCTAATATAAAAGGTGGGATAAGAGTTTTTGAGCAAGTATGAAACGTAAAGCATTCAAAATTATTTCATTTTTTCTAGTTAAGAGCTCTTAAACAACTTTTCGCTTTTGGGGATGTGAATTCTTTTATTAAATTGCTCTAAATTTGGCGACTTATCAACATTGGCGATTTTAAGACCAGTTCCTATAGAAAATTTTTAATTCCGAGATCTGGAAATTTTTGGACGATTTTTTTAAAACATTGTAACATTGATAAGTTTCATTAAAATAATGGTAACATATTGTAAATACATTTAAGAAATAACATTAAAATAAAGCATTTTTATTTTTTGCTGTCGTATTATAAAGTTCCATTTTGGCCACTTTTTACACAATATTTTGAATATGAAAAATAAGCAAAGTATAATGCTATATAAAGCACAATTTACGAAACTGTTCTTAGCAAAAGCAGCTATGTAATTAATTAAAAATTTCTTTTTAATTTTTTCCTGGTAAGAGTTTTCTCATGTTATTGTCTCAGAATATATGCCAGTTTTCTCTATAAAATTAATTTTACATATTTTTTATCCGATTTAAAAAAAAAAAAATATTTTTGTTTTTTTGCTGTTACTGAATTGGCAGGGGGAATTTTTCTTTAGGATTTTAGACATTGCAGCTTGGAAAGCTTAGAAAGATTTGAAGGCAAGATTTATAGACCCACTATTCAGAAAGATTCCAGAAAATGAAAAATGTCTCCATGGTATTAATACATAATTTCTTACTTTTTGGAGAACATCTGGAAGAGCAATAAAAACATAATTAGCATTTTTAGAATAGCAGAAATCTTTAATTAAATCCAAAAACTCTAAAATGAAAAGGAAACGTGGAAGAAAAAAACTGAATACAGTAAGAGAAAGGAAAATTATTCTTCAAAGATATGTACAGTTATTATTATGTACACTCATGTCTATAAATTAAGGATAATTCGGAGTCACGTGGAAATCGAACTCGAAAATAAGTATATCACCTGTAAAATCACTACACACATCTTCAAGAATCATATACAAGTTTCAGGAAGTAACCAGATGACACCGATGGTACGTCACAATGACAAGAGTGTAAGAGAGTGATATATAAGGAATACAGGAAAAGAAGTAAAATTGTTCGCAGGCGCTTTATAAGCATTTCAGTACAATAACCAAATAGTTATGACACAAAGGATGCATTTGGATGATTTTTTACGTGGTAGAATTATCGGCCGTCTGGAATTATCGGCGTACCCAACTGGAAGTATCAGATGAACTTGGAATTGCCCAGAGTGTCATCTCCAGGCTTTGGCAACATTCCAAGATGATGGTAATGTGAGTAGACGTTACAGCACAGGTCGCCGCAGAGTTACAACGCCGAATGAGGACCACTATGTGGCATTTACTGCCAAAAGAAACAGGCGGAGCACAGCCTCAGACAGTCTTTTGTTTTGAATCATGCTGATAGTGATTTTACTTCTCACTTTAACCTATGCCACTTGACATAAAATCTACTTACTATTTACTAACTCATAGAGTAAGCAAGTATGTGACAAAATGAGACATTAAAAAAAAAATAAATAAATAAAAATAAAAATCAAAGCTAACTGTTAGTAAAACCTAAATAAAATGTCTTTTATCTTCTTTCAAATATGTCCAGTTAGTATGAGCATAAAATATTTAATGATAAATTTCATAAACTTTATTTTATTCTCAAACTTACTAATACTTATATTTAATATTAATGCATCCTACTTATCTATTTTATTTTTAGGATTGTATTACAAAAGTGAAGTTCAGCATAGATAATATTTTTAATTGAATTTATTCAGTTCCTATTTGCTTATAGGTCCTTAATTTTTTCATGAATGGTCCTTAAAAGTCCTTAATTTCCATGTGCAGAAATGTGTATGAATCCTGTGTGTGTACACGCACATTATCTCAATATCTTTTCTGCACATATTCTAATACCCATTCTTATATGGAATTAAACATCATAATAAGATATCAAAAATTAATTGTTCAGGTATTAAACATCTTGTTGACATCCGAGTTGATGAGCAAGCAGAATTTTGTTTAAGTAGATGACTAAACTTTGGAAATTTTTTTCAATAGTCCATTCAGAAAATTTGAGTGTAATATACAAAGTACTTTAGAAATTGTTTTTGTCATTAATTATATTATTAATTTTATATCTTTTTTTGTATATTTCTATTATTATTATTAACCTTATATCTATTATATATCTCTCTTATTAATTAAGTAACTTTAAAAATTATATATCACCACAGAATTAAATTTATTATTATTATTATCTATCACTACAGAATATCACTTTTTAAAGTTGCACTTTTAAATCTTTATTACATTGTCCTGGTATTTGCATTAAAATACTGTAGAACTCCAATTATCTGAATCAACAGACTCCATTCGTATAATTCGATTTTTTTCCAAAGAAAGAGTCTATGTACACTTTAATTAATTACTATATGTATTGTATTTTGAAAATGAGAGGGAAAAAAGGTTTTAATTAATTAAAATGAAAAGGCAACACTTTTTACATACATGTTATATAGCGTGTATAGCACATTACAAGTGCTGAAAGTCATTGCTTACTGACCATCTCAGTCAAAGTAAGCTGTTCGATTGTCTTCAACCATTTTCAAGCAGCCACTTAGCAATAAGAAGTTGCATGTGGTCACACTTGGGCTAACATTCCATTCACTTCAACGCAGTTTCATTTTCACTTTGCTCAACGAATTTTGTACTCTTTTACTTGTTATAAGTAATTACCTTAACCTACTTATCTCTTAAACTAATCTCTTTAAAAAAAAAGTCATGTACATATTTAAATTTTCATCATCAAATACTGCCTTTTGTAATTTGAAATAGCTTTATTCGATTAGGGGTAGGGTTTATGACCAGGCACCTTGGTGTTACACCAATTGTTTGCTTGCGATTCAATGCAGTTTCATAGCCGGCAAACGCTTCACTAGCTGATGGTCCTCTGTCTGCTTCAACTTTGACATTAAGGTCATCTTCCTCGACACTTTCTTCTCTCACACTTTCAATATGTTCATCATCATTTAGAATCTAAAACCCAGGGTCTGCCGAAACACATACCATCCATTCTGCTGTATCCTCAGTGCTAACTTCTGGACATCCAGAAATTTTCAAAAGAATGTTTCTTAATTCCTCAAGTGACTAGTCATCCTCATCTTCTCCCGTCTCTTCCCTATCCTTTCCTTCAGCTTCTTTTCTCCTCTTCAGTTTATTTTGAAAAATTTTGAAAGCCATTTGAATAGTCAGAGTTCGAGTAATTGGAGTTATACTGTATTGACTTTAAACCAAGTGATTGAATTGACGTTTAAAAAAGAAAAGTATTAAGGTAGAAAGGATAATTCACCTCTGTCATTTGATCTTCTGTAATTTCTTACCTTCTACGTGTTTTATTGCATCCTAAACAGCTGAGCAATTTTGTGCATATGCTTTGAAATTCTTTAGAAATGAAATGAATGAGTGAAAGGTAATTTTATTTTAATGTGCAAATATATGGTATAAAAAGTGAAATTATATAAAATTGCTAATGTGTTACACTCATCAGAAAATCATTTCAAATGTTAAAATATTTGGTCAAATTTCATTTAATAAGTAGAACCATTATGAGGGTAAGGTGAAACATTCTTGGCCTGACAATGAAAGACTGTGACTTTCAGTTAAATAATGATTTTATATTTCTACATAAACTCCCCTGACTTCAACACACCTTCAACGTCAGTATTCTTTCCCAGAAGTGAGAGCCTGGAAGGTTGTGAAAATATTCATCTATAACCCTCTCAACTTCTTCATTGCATGCAAAGGGCTTCCCAGAAAGAAATTTCTTCAAATTTGGGAACAGATGGAAGTCTGAGGGTGCCAAATCAGGAGAGTGGCTGAGCAAATTGTACCCCAAATCCTGCAGTTTTCTTATCGTTAATGAACCCTTGTGCACAGGTAATTGTGCATATTGTGTGGTGACCTGGTGAAAGATGATTTTTTTCCCTTCAAGCCAGGCCTCTTCTCGTGAATTTTGGCATCCAACCAAAAGAAGAATCGAATCATAAGAAGGTTCGTCTTAATATTCACCTGTAATTTTTCTGCCCTTGGCAAGGTAATTAATTAACAGGATCCCTTTCGCATCCCAAAACACACTGGCCATGACTTTTCCGGCGATGCAGTCGACTTTGCTTTCTTTTGTGCTGAACCACTGGCTTCCACCCACTGCTTGGACTGCTGTTTTATTTCTGGCATGTAGTGGTGGACCCATGTCTCATTCATAGTGACAAATAGCTGCGCAAAATTGTTCGGATCCATACTGAATGAGATTGCTGAAAAAATCGTTTGCGCATTTGCTTTTGAACAGCATTCAGCAAATGCACCCCCCATCTTATGCAGAGCTTTCGCATCCCTAGATGTTTTGCACCCTTTTTTCCAGTATTCCTATAGTTTCAGCTATCTTGCTGACCTTCACTCGCCTATCATCCAACACAATATCATGCAGCACTTTTTTGATGTTTTCCAATGTGGTTGTTGTTATTGGCCATCCTTCACATGAGTCATCTTCGTGGGATGTGCGACCATGTTTAAATTCAGCTGCCTACTTTTCGGCGGTTGACATGGAAGGAGCAAAGTCCCCGTAAATTTGTGTCAATTTTGCATGAATTTCCTTAGTAGGAGTTAATCTGTCAAAACGAAGAATTTTATGATTGTACAATATTCAAGTTTATTCATTTTAAAGAATAACACGCGAGACGTCTGATGCAAAAATTCGTGTTAACAAACTACTTGAGAGAACAAGTTGAAACTGGTCATACTAACTAATGACACGTGCACCTAGGCAGAAAATAAATTTTTGCTGATTGGAGCACCATCTCTGTGTCAGGCCGAGAACTTTCACCGTACCCTCATGTTAGATTAATTGTACATGTTGTCTAATTATTCATGTAAATTTTGATTTTAGATGTTAGGATTTGTGATTCGCCTCCCTTCATTTTGAAGTTTCAGTATCAAAGATTCGGGGCAGAGTAGTTACTGTTTATGGCTGTAACATACCTGCCATAATTCATCAGATGTTTCATTCAGTTTGTACATATTACAATAAAACTTTTCAAGAAATTTTGTCAGTTTTGTATACAATGGTTATTTTAATTTGCCCGTTTACAGGGGGCTCTAGTTATTTAAATTCAGTTAAATAAAAACATATAAATACTTTTGTCTCAGTTAAAATTTGCTAATTACCAATCTCTTTGACCCAAATTTTCAGTTTTACACCAGCGGCTGAATGGTAAAGTCTCTAAACACTGGTATTTCAGCCCGAAGTTCGAATCCTGTGAATGGGCTGGCTACGTGGGCGTTTTTGTGGTTTTCCCCCATGTGTAATGTGTATACAAACCAGTTTCCTTTATAAAGTCCTCCACCAAGGTGCCCATACATGGGGGAAAACCACAAGACCCATGCAGCTAGCCCGTTTGACGGGATTTCAGACCAAACTACCAACGTTCAGCAACTTTACCACTCGGCTGCCGGTACAAGAAAATTAACTGTATAATGACACAGTGTTAACAGTTTATTAATACTGAATTAACTTCAAACAGTTATGCTAAGATAAATGCAGTGGGAAAATAAATAATGCAACTTGTTTATCGGAACGTTTATTTTTCACAAACAAAACATACAAACAGCATTTACATAGCAATAATGAAATGAAAATAGAATAAATAAGTACAACGCAGTACTTGTGACCATTCTTTGACAAGAAGGTAGATGTGGAATTATGCAAAGACTAATCACAAAAATACATCAAAGCTCTTTCTTTAACCAACAAAAATATATATAAATATATAGCTATGTAGTACTGAATAAAAAAAAATTTTTTTTGTAAGTTTATTAATATACTCACTTTTTTTTACTTGATAATATTGTATAAGTTCACGATCGACTGTCAGAAATAGTACTGCGGTATGAAAAGTGAGAAGAAAATGCAACTAATAAGATTCATTATTTTCTTTATTTAATAATTGAGAAAAGAGATGGTAAACAAAATTGAAATTCTCAACTAATCTTAGTTGGATAGTAAGTATTTTATAATTAAGGAAAATGTTCTGCTTCTTTCTGAATTTGGATATTAACAGTTGATCGAAATAGATGCCAAAACACTGCAAACTTAAAAGATAAGTTACGCTAAAATTTGAAATTTATTATTTAGGTAGCATTTTGACATAAAGAACTTCTAAAGGTATGAAACTTATTAGTTGAAATAACAATAAAAAAGATGATATAAATATAATGCTGATACCCTTTGGACAAAACTCTTAAGAATACCTCAAATAATAATGATAAAATTATATGCACGAGATTGTTCATGACACGTATACAAATATATAATAGCACTTCATAAAAATGCTTTACAATTTCTCTACATTCTGTTGAGAATTTTCCTCTCAACTAGATATGTATTAATTTCACCGTTCTGTATCATCATAGAGTGGTTTACATTGAATATTATTTAATCAAACACATCATACGTAAAACGAAACGAAAAAAAGTTCTAAATTATGAACACGTACATACAAACAATTACTCTGCAAGGTGATATGATGTCACAGACCAAAATAAGTAGAACTTTGCTCAGGAAATCATAGCTACCCTGAAAACCTTGCACTGAATGTAGAATAATATTTAAATATATTCTATTAAGGCCAAGAAGTGTTCCTGCTATAAAAGCCTCAAGCAGCGAACTAGACTTCAAATATTCATGCAGCTGGCCTTTGGAGGTCATGGTGCCTTGGGAGCTACATGCATCAGATTGGGCTGCTTGATTGGTCGAGCGTCACCTGTACGCTCTGTTGAAATTATGTAGCTGGAAGACATCGGTCAGCTGATGAAAAGTTAGAAAAACAGAAAAGACAGCATTAAAAAGTAGTTACCATGTTGGGCACAGTAGAGGAAGACAGTAACAATTTCAACTTCTTGGCCAAAGCTGACAACGTGAAAGATATGTTCAGTTTATTTTTGTTTTCTTTTTAGTATTTCCAGAATACTTGTTCTTCAGCACTTGAAAAGTTTTTTGCACTTTCCTATTTCGGTTGAAAGAGCACCAGCTTTGAATACATTCATCTTGGGTCTCATGTGCTTTGGAACTAGTTTTTCGAGAACTCTATAAAACGACAAATAAAAAAATTAAATTTTTCTTAAAATTATTCTGATTAGCTCATAAGGGGAAAAACTTCTAAATAACATGTAAAATTATTTATAAAATGTAATTGTTTAACCCTTATATTGACTTCAAAACAGTTTATAAAATCATATTATTCAAATTATATTTTTCAGATAAATTACACAATTTTTATGTTTAATCAACTTATATCGCTTATCACAGATCTAAACATTATATTTCTAATATAATGTAGGAATGGTAGTCTAAACTGGCCATCATCTTCGAGGTTGAAATTTTCACACTTTTAAACCACCTTTGAAATATGGCATCAGATTTCCATATAGAGTACAAATTTTAGAATCAGTCTAACATTTTTTTTTTTAAAATAGAAGAGCATAATATGACGAAAATGAACTTTTTGGGTTCCGCACCGCACTGAAACGCAAAAAAAAAAGTCGGAACACATGATAAAATTATGCAGTGTTAGAAAACGCCCTTTTTTAAACAACTCCTTCAATCAAGGACACTCATATCAGCAGTAACAAAATAATAAAAAACCCTCTTCCATTTAAAACACCGAAGGACTTTTCAGATGACCCAATACATATTGTAACATTTCAAGCATTTTGTAGAGGCTTTTCCCCAGGTCTAAAACAAAATTCAATCACTTTTCCGCTTTATAATCATAAAAACATACTAAAATGCTTCTACTTGCTATCACAAAATACTGAACATCGTGGCTGTCAAATTGCATATTCAAATGAGTCGACTGACAGCATTCGCAAAATCCAATACCAGATTGTGACAACTAATACCGGAATACGAAAATTGCAGCTGTCTCAAAACTTTCAGATCAGCTCTCATATATACTATGATATATTTTTATGTGCTTGCTTCCTGACATGCACTTCCCATGATAAAGTTTCTCAAAATAAAGTAAGAATTTTATAAAAGCAATTTTAACTCTAGAAGTAGAACAGATTTGAAAAAAAATTAATTTAATATGTTCCTGTAGAACAAACAACATGCCCATTCTGTAAAATAATAATTATTCTTTAGCAAGTTAAATGGAAAAAGTTTTATACCTTTACGTTTAAAATTCTTGCAGATTTGCTGACTTTGATAATTTCTACACATAATATTGACCAAAATTACATTTTCTCTGAAACTTCCTAGATGACAAAATGTATCTTCTTTCTGATTTTTCAAAAGTTTTACTAATTTTAAATTCATACATATTCATAATATTAGAACATTAATTGTCTTATTAAAGGAATAGCTTAAAAGACAAAAAACAAAGTTCTAAATTTTTCACATGTATTACTTAACCTTCAGTGTTAATTTTTTTGTCAAAGGGGAAGAATTTGCTTTGTCAGCCATTACAAAATGCAAATACATACAATTACCCATTTTTCTGATATTAATAAAATAAATATTAAATTAGATTTCAATTTTATTACAAGCTAAATTTTTATTTATAGTGTCTATTCTCATTAAAAGCTGTTAAAAGTAAGATTGTTTAGAGCTTCTTTTATATATATATATATATATATATATATAAAGAGAGAGAGCTATTCCTAAATCATAAAACTCATAAGCATTGCTGAAATCACCATTTTCATAATAAATGATGAAACAAGCATTTCATTAATTTTTCCTGCAACTTTACCGACTCGTTCCTTAAATAATAGTAATGGCAGAAAATTAAACTACGAACATAAGTTTAATAGTTCGTACTGCAATTAAGTTTCTTGGAATGGCAACTCAAGTCTACGAAATATTTTTCTTGTGTTGTAGAAATGATTTAGGAATAGCTCTCTCTCTTTTATATATATATATATAAAAGAAGCTCTAAACAATCTTACTTTTAACAGCTTTTAATGAGAATAGACACTATAAATAAAAATTTAGCTTGTAATAAAATTGAAATCTAATTTAAATTTATTTTATTAATATCAGAAAAATGGGTAATTGTATGTATTTGCATTTTGTAATGGCTGACAAAGCAAATTCTTCCCCTTTGACAAAAAAATTAACACTGAAGGTTAAGTAATACATGTGAAAAATTTAGAACTTTGTTTTTTGTCTTTTAAGCTATTCCTTTAATAAGACAATTAATGTTCTAATATTATGAATATGTATGAATTTAAAATTAGTAAAACTTTTGAAAAATCAGAAAGAAGAAGATACATTTTGTCATCTAGGAAGTTTCAGAGAAAAAGAAAATGTAATTTTGGTCAATATTATGTGTAGAAATTATCAAAGTCAGCAAATCTGCAAGAATTTTAAACGTAAAGGTATAAAACTTTTTCCATTTAACTTGCTAAAGAATAATTATTATTTTACAGAATGGGCATGTTGTTTGTTCTACAGGAACATATTAAATTAATTTTTTTCTATTCCGTATTCTAGGAATTAATGTGCATATTAAGATATATTGTGCAACTTATTTCTTCGCATAGTTTACGACATTTGAAAACCTTTAGTTTGTAAACACATTTGATCAATTGTATTCTTTTAAGATTTTATTTATTATTATTTGTTACAATACAAGCAAATGCCTATAATATTTTGCTATATTTATTTAATATTTTTGTAATGCAATTACACATTACAAGTAAATGAAAGTGTTGCATGTTCTGAAAATTATTCAATAGAAGTACAAGTCTCTGACTGACCAATACAGTTGAATCTGAAAAGTTATCTAGTTACAAAATTAATCTTAAATTTTAATTTATAAATCAATTTTTTAAATATTTAATTTTACTTTAAAAGTAAATAAGCTATTTTTGTGAGTCTCATAACATTATTACAAAGCATTCTTTATGCAGAATGTAACTTTGAGAGTTGCCATTAATTTTCCAGGAACTACAATCATAGTATTACATATTTGCTATGTTTTATTTTTTTATGTTCTAGTATTCAGGCATTGGCCATGTGATGAAATCTAGTCAAGGTTGAATAGAAACTTAAAAAGCACAATATTTGTGCCTTTCATGAACTCTTCAAAGAAACAATGGAGCACTGCTCATAATAAATCAAGTCTCTACAATAAGAGTGGACATATGGTTATTTTTTCATTTCATTACCGAGTTTATAAATTGAAAATGAAAGGAAGTACTAAGTACAGCTTTTTATTCTGATAGACGGATTGATTGTTTATACCTAAAATCGTCTGACGAGTTCCATTTTATGATGTTGATTTTCAAATCATCGAGCCTTAATGAAACTTATTAATCATATTCATAGAGTTAAAATAACTCAGTGAAAGAGCATTATAAAACTTAATACTAAATTCAGATTTAATTGGTGAAACAGAATGTGATCTAGCTCAATTTATTCCTGTAAGACTTGAATTCGATAATTCTTCTATCAGAAGTCGAATGATTTTTGTTTTCAGATATTGATATCTTATATGTGCATTTCCTAAACTTTCACTTCAGACGTTTTAATCATGTTTGTAGAGTGGTCGAAATTAAGCATTGATCCTAGGCATATATATTTATAGAATTCTGTAAAATAATGTACAGAATTTTTTATTCGTTTATTTAACTGAGTACATTAAAGCACATAAAGATTACTCTTGCCTAAGGGAAAGTATGTCTTCATAAAGGAATTCCTGAGGGAAACTAATTCGCATTTACACTACATATAGGGAAAAATATGAAAACACACACATATATGTGTGTGTTACAGAGCCTAAAAACCCTAAAAACAAGCCTCTGTTTTTGAACTAGTAATCCCTTAACATACTGTATCTTTACATACAATTATTTATATATACTATACAGTTAATTAAATATAACATTTATTTACCATAATTCCAAAGTAATTTCTTCTAGAAATTGTACTTTTTTAATTATGTTACCCATATAAATTTTATTACAGTTATTCAAATTATTGTCACGTTTTTATTTTTTTCATTTAACAATACTCAATATTTTAAATATTACATACTTTCTATATTATACTGAAAACATTGTTTACCATATTCTATACCAGTTTTTCAAAATTATTTCATTCATTTCTTACATTTAGCTCATTCTTAAAATAATGATTAAATTCAAATTTTTAAACAATCTTATTTTTAAAATAATTCAAAGTTTTTTTAAAGCAATGATTCTAAAATATAATTATTAATACAGTAATTTTTCATAACCTTCCCTAAATAAAATAATTTTAAAATCTCTAAATTTGTTGCTTAATTTTATTAAATAAATTATGAAAATTTTAATCTTTTGGTATTATAGAATTTTCATCATTTTCATGAAATACCGTTAAATTTTTAAAATTCAATATAATAAGCATTACATGTTAAAGTTTCAAAAAAGCATATTATTTTTCCATATGATAATATAATTCTAACTGCTAGAACCTTGCTTTATTCATAAAAAACGTGATGTAAAATTCTAAAATCCATAGCATTATTTGAGTTTTATTTCCCTGAAGTGACTGTATTTTAACACACTATCTTTGGAAGAAAATAATTATGAAAGTTGCATTATGGATAAACATCTTAAAAGTTTCACACAGAAAATTGAAGCACATTTTTTTTTAAACGGAGGTTAACGACCTTCAAAGGCACTGAGAATGCGTAGTTGAATGTCCGTATCCTCACTCCTTAAAAATGCTCTTCACTTTTAATATAAACACTATTCTGGATATGCTACGAGATTGATTTTCCAAGCATGCTGAAGAACGATGATAGGAATTTTTTCATTTCTAGATATTGAATAGATTAAGAGCATTTTATTCTGTATCCATTTCATATGGATATAGAATAAAGTAAAATTAGTTTTCATAGCGAAGCGTCCATCCTTGTCCTTAACACACACTTATAACAGAAAGATGAATTTCGGTTCTTTTCCGTTTCGCCAGCGCAAATCTCGCCAAGCAGACAACACACAGTATACTCATAAAAAATGGTGATAAATGTTAGTTCTAAGAATTTTTGTTTTGAAAAGTATAAATATTTTAATGACGTTTAAAATTTTGTAAAAAAAGCCAATAAATAAAGACAATAAATTTGTAAAAAGACATTAATTCAAGAATTTATTATGCTTTCATGGTACAACATCCTGATTCGCCGGTTCATATCACGTGACCCCAAGTGATCTCATCTCACGTAAACTACGCTACAAAAATCTAATTCTGTCAGTAATTATCTACATTAATTTCAAGTTAAATCTTAATTTGGAATACAGGTTTAAATGCAAGAATTATTTCAATTCATACGAATAGCTTATTTTGGCCATCCGGTGAGCGGTGTGATTGCATCCTAATTGACTTAATTACCGCCCGCGAATAAGCTTAAAGCATAAAATTAAACTATCTGGGTAAAAATTCTATGTAATTGTATGCCAATATTGAAAGGAACAATCAATCTGATAATGGCTGCGACTTGTTTTGAAAATGAGGAGTAAAAGGTTACCAGCAAGGATATTCCGTTGTACCATTATTGGCGACTTTATCGCATGCGCCGGCAAAAAGGAAAAGTACCAAATTTTCTAATAGTTCACCCTCACTTGAGGTGCTCTCGACTAGACATAAAATATGAAAGAAAACTGCTAACTTTAATTTAGCAATAGTCGTTTTATTTGCTATGGCCCCTTCCTGTAATCTAAACTCTATAAATATGCTTTGCTGAAATGTGTGCTTAATTTTGCCTGCCTTTCGTTCGCTGGGCTTGCGTTGCTTCTTTCACCGTTTCATACATTGTCTCAAAATGTGACAAGTTGCATATAGAATTGTAGAGTGTTTGTCGCACTCATAATGATGCATAAACCGAGAAATGTGTACTAAGAAATTATTCATCAGGAAATAATAAAATTATGTGGTGAATTTTCAACTGCATCTGTCTCCAAGTTCCATTCTTCTACTAGGCATTCTATCTATACAAGCAACATCTATAACCATCTCGGTTATGACTAAAAAAATATTGATTTCTTCTCTCCCACGTATCCTAAATTTACTGCACGCACACACACGTATAAATGGATAGGCAGATAGATAGATTTTACTTGAAGAAGAATTTATTCGCTAGCTCAGTTGAGTTTCCACCAGAATATTAAGTTCCCAGGTTTATCTGTCAACAAATTTCCAGTATATAAAAATGTATCGCAAGAACGATAATGAACAAGCAACAAAAACTCTTTCTTTTCCCTTTTTTCAATTTTTTTTTACTTCTTTGAATATAGAATTATTATTTTAATTTTTCCTCTCTTTTTTTTTTCCCTTTATTTTCCCTTTTTATTTTTCAGCTCTCTAATTTTTTACATTGTGTCAAACTAGCTGCTAAAGAGGACCTTTGCACTTCCATTTTAAATTTTAGTTGCTAACATATGTCGTTCACTTATAAGTTTTTAAATTTTTAAGCAAATAAGTGAAAAATTTAGCGTAGTTATGAAGACTGCATCTGAAGTAACCGATAAAACTAGGAGTATGGAATTATTTTTGCTAAATGTAAAAGTGTTAATGTAAAAATAGTACAAATAGTTCAAGCTGGTGGTTTTGTAAAACTGAATTTATAAAAAGAATTTATAAAGAATACTTACAGAACAACTGCTCCTTTTCCTTTAACGTCACTGACTGCGCTGCCAAATTCGCAGATGATCCTGTTCATGCATTCTTCCTTTTCTACGGCGGTCCTATATAGTGAGTAATATCTTTCCAACTTGTCTTTGTACTCGCTGATCATGGAAAGAGGACTTGCTGCTTGAGCATCTGTAGATCTCTTGGTCCTACTTCCCAGATTGCTGGTGACAGTTGGGATGAGCATCGTTAACCCTGCTAAAGCTAACATTGGCATAATCAAGCTTCCTAGGCCATACCGTCTGCTTGGAGTGCCATAACCTTGAGGTACTCCATAACCTGAAGCTGCTGCTCCATACTGATTTCCTCCATAGCCAGTCAACTGAGCTGCATATTGTGCAAGTGTTGAACTTTGGGGTGCATAATTTGCTACTGCTGCACTTCCTGCAGGGTAGCTACCAAGGGCTCCAGCTGCAGCACCATATGCAGAAGCTGGAATACCAGCAGCATAGCCACTAGCATAGCCATTTGAATAGTGATTGGCGTTATTCATGGCTGCTCCCAGTCCTGCACTTCCCAAAGAGTAACCATTGGCTAGGCTATATTGACTGAGCTGGTTGAGTGCTCCAGCATATGCTGCATCCTGGGAAGCATAAGCATCACTGGCTTGAGCAGCAGCATGATAACTGTTTTGAGAAGAATCTTGGCTTTCGTAAGGGTTGGAATTAGCCGGGGCAGTGGCGTAATTGTGAGTGGAAGAACTAGCATAGGCATTGTCCTGGGCTTTGTCCTGCACTGGATAGTAATAATAATACAGATTTCCCTGAGAATTTTGTGGAGATTTGTACGCGCTGCTAGCATCGGATGCATCGAACGCCGCACTGCTGTAACTATTAGATGAAGCGGATGGAGAATATACAGGCTGTCCACCAGAGCCTCCACCTCCAGAGCTAGGGTCTTCCCGTTTTGTACTGGTGGAGCTCGAAGAGGAGGAGGAGGGCGCCGCCGCAAAAGCTGCCGCTGCCATCACCACCAGGACGCACCATACTCGCAGCATGACACCTAAAACAAAAAATGTTTCGATATTAATTTGTCTTCAAAAATATATTTTTGAATCAGTATTTGTGTCATAAGAGGAATGCTAATCCGAAAAAGAATCATTTTGATTATAAAGTATATTATCCTAGGATTACATTATTAGTGTGGCAATTATACATCAATTCAAGAGTTTTTTTTAGCAAAACAAGTAATGCAAAAGTAAAATGCAGAACAGAAGTAAAGTAAACCATTTGTACTCGGGAAAGAAAAATGAAATGTAAAAGGAACGGAATCTATTGCTTCTGTTTGAGTTTCTGACAACTGCTTTCGACCACAAATAATGATTCCTTTCGAAGTATGCGCAGTATAGTGTAGTCGTAATAATGATGTTATTTTCAAATTTACCTTTTTATGTACCTTCAAAAGTGGATATTATTTATTTCTGGAATGAATTTTGAAATTGGCGGAATGAAAAATGGAAATAAAATTTCAGCAAAGATATTAGTGATTAAGTTCGTAACTTCAAGAAATGAACGAAATGCTACCGATTTCAGGAACTCCAAAGTTCATTACTCGGAAATTTAAGTCAACGAAATGCAACGGATATCTGTAGTGTCTTAACGGAACCGAGTCAAAGACCCAAACAAAAACATAACCCACTTTTTCGGACCTATCCCTTCCCTCCCCTTAATAGTAGTGCTCACCGAATCTAGACACATCTAATTCAATGTCATGGTCTTGAAGAACCGGTCGGTTTCTATTTTTACTTCTTTCCCGTGACTGCCTTGGCCTAGTGCGCATGCGGCTTGTCCTACCAACTGAAACGGAGGTTCGGTCAACCAGTTTCAGAACTAGGAAGACAGTTTCCCAAATATGCGGATGTGGCCTCGTTACCTGGGATGGAAGAGATGACATTTTGCGAGAAAGGAGGGTGAGAATTACATCTTCTGTCTATAATAAAGCCTCGCTGCGGAGGATGCTCTGCGTAGAATGAAAACGATTATTATGCTTCAGTAGCAATTATTTTGAAAGAGATGATCGGTGGCCTGCTTTCAGATGTTTTATAATTCCTTGCAAAGCGAAATTTTTAAATGAAGAATTAAAAAGACAATAAAAAAAAATCTGAAAGTTCGGATTTTACATTAAGCCCAAAGAGTGTTTTTTTTTTTTTTTTTTTTTTTTTTTTTTTTTTTTTTTTTTTACGTTTTGCGTGTTACTTATATTACATATCATGTTTTCGTGCACTTAAACCATAAAATTCAATTCAACTGCAATATCGCAAAATAATTTTTAAATGAGCGTATCTTTAGAATTTCCGATGCACAGTCTTGTGCGCTGGAGATACCCCCCCCGGTATAGTGTTGCTATTGCTCGCTTTGAAATCGTCAAGTTTCTTAATCGAAAATTCATAAATGCTTTACAAAATATAAAATAGGTAATAAAACAAATTCTAAATTTGGGCTTTTAGATGCCTGTATTAGGGTGGAGACGTACTTATTCGAAATTGGATGGCTCTAGGTACCGTCGTTTTATCACAATGCGAGAACACATACATACACTTATGCAGATTCTTCATTATTTAATTTCTTTAGATATAGAGCAGGGCTCTAATATTGGATGGCAACAATTTGAAAAGTGAACCATCATTTACAGTGAATCAACGCAAAATGCCAAAACGAAATTAATAACCCCTTTGGTCTAAAAAATAATGGAAGACAGTAGTACGAAACTAATTCTTTCAAAAAGATGTACCTTTTCGTGTACCTTTCCCGAAGAATTATTTTAGAAGCAATAAACATTTAAATCGATAATTTATTACAAGCAAATTAGCTTTATTTATGTATAAATCGATAATGTAGTTCATGAAAATCAGTCTATTTCTAGAAATCTAGTCTATTATTGATAAAGTGTGACTGGTTTTAGTATCGTCTCTCTTCCTTTTAAATGTGGAGTGTCTCAACATTTAATTCCGGTTATTTAATCTTTCGATCCTCAGTATTTAATCTATAGAATTTCCTTGTTCTTTTCGGGATGATCCAGTGGTAGACCCTACTGAAAAGACTACGTAGCGAATTCTCGCTATGTCTTGGAAGAACAGATAATTGGAGAAGAAGTTTTAAATAACCGTTTTCATTTGAATTAAACTTAACAGAACGCATTCCCTCGGTGCTCATCCCGTGTGGTTAAGTAACTCGAACAGAAAATAAATATGTGAAATCACAATAAAGTAAGATAGGCTACACGACTGGATTCTTAACACTAAATTGCCCAAGGAAGTCATTTTGACTGCTTTTTAATTTCAATTAGAAAAACTATTATGTATATAATGACAATATTTCTTAGAATTTTGCGACTTTTTGTACAGCATAAAAATGCGTTTATTAATAATTGTAGTTACCCCCTTCTTTCATTTCCGGTATATATATGTGTTATACCTATACTGCCCAAAAGCAATCATTTTGACTGCTTGGGAAATTTTAAATAATCAAATGACTCATTATTGAATTGAGTAAATTTCTTATAGGACCAGTTCGGCTCTGTATTGAAATAACAGTTTTCATTTCAGTTCAGTTACCGTCACATTATAATATACAAATACGTGATAAATTGTCGATTTAGGGGTATACTTGATAAGATGCAGTTTGTCAATAAGCTAAAGTAGTACTTGTTATTCGAATCTCGGTGAACACGTTGTTCTGAAACTTGTCGAGCCATATACAAGCTGTGGAAGAAAATCACGCCGATAACTTTTCACTAGCATGTCTCCGCGACAAAATTTTGCAAAAAAAAAAAAAAAAAAAAAAACCAAAAAACAAAAAAAACAAAAAAGAGAAATACCAACACCAAACAAACGTAGAGAACGCCTCGTTCTTCACTCTGCCTATAAAATCAGAGAATTGCGTTTTTACAATATATAAAAGCAAACCACTAAAAGAGTAGATGTTTAAGTTCTAAGCAAAATTTGATAAACTAATAGAAAAATGTTACTGGAATCTATTCCGTTTTATAACAGCACAAAATTTGGAGTTGATATGACAGATCAAATGGCCAGAAAATATACAGTAAAAGCTAGTTCTTGTAGATGACCCCTCCAGATATTTTTCAATATTTTAGGTTTGGCTGCTATAAATACTTGGATCCCTGACAAAGAAACGACAGGAATACAAATACAATGAAAAGAGTTCTTGTTTCAATTATAGTAGAACAGCTGCTGCAAGACAGAAAAAGTCATCAGAACATGAAGACGCACAAAGATCAACTGCAACATCATCCAATGCAACCCATTCTAACAAACGCAAAATTTGTCAAGTACGACTTTGCCACAAAATCAAAACAAATAATATATGTGAAAAATGTCAAAAGTATGTTTTCGGAAGATGTACACATAAAAAGATTTCCACTTTCATTTGCAAAAAATGTACAAATAATAATGCATAAATTACTATTTTTACAAGTGAAGTCATTTTTTTATCGTTAATATTTACTAATAACTTGTTATATAACTGTAGATAATATAAAGAATTAATTTTAAACAAATTTCTTTACACATTAGTTATTCTTTCACAGTAAGTCTAAAACAATAAATAAATCTTTACAAATCCTTCGACATTATTTTAATCACTCCACAAATGAACTGTCATTTCATTCAAATGAATCCCGTAAGAATGCATTTCATTTCTCACAAAAGAAAAGCTTTTACATTGATATGGACTTAGAAAGGATCGCAAAATTAATTTCGAATAGATGCACAATCAGTTTATGACCATTTAGATTACCATCTATGAAAAAATCAGTGACTTAATTAGATTCAATTTAACTTCTCACTCATTTGAATAAAGAGATACTTAAAAATTTGTTTCGTGAAATGCAGATAGATGCATTGACTTAAAGTTTGAAATTTTAAGTCTCATTTTTAATGTAATTAATTATTCACAGAAAAATTTAATTGTTCATTAACACATCTTAGATTGATTTATTCGATATCTTTATATAGGGCTTGAATAAGAAACGAGTACCAGAATATTTTTGATAATTTAAATTCTCCCACTTCAAATTAACCAGAGTCATTTCAAATTTAGAGAACTGTGAAATTTTTTTACAACTTTTTTGAAAGTTAGATATTCTTAAGGTATTAATATCTATACCATGAAATGACTTCCGAAAGAATATTTGGATTAAGACTAAGTGAAAAGGAATTACAACGAATTATTAGCTCTTGGTTATTATAATTGCGATAAATATGTGCAGCTCCATATCAAATGCATCTTATGCTAATGAATGCTGTATTTATGAAATAATAATAAAAAATGTCAACCATTCTTCCTTTGAATCTATCAGGCACTGAATACGCTTTGTAGAGAATTCTTTTTGAAGCAGGAAATAGGAAAATAAATTATGCCTTCACTGAGATTCGAGCCACACACAATATAATTGTCAATTACATGTGCTAACCACTCACACTACTGAAGCACACATAGCGAATCAATTAGATGGTCTAATCACTCATACTACTAAAAATAAAGCTCACGTAGCGAATCATAGAATTCCTTATATTCTCCCCCATTTAAAGGGCGATTGTCCCATTTAAAGGGGACAAAGGCCGAAACGACGAAATAATGAGCTATCGCCCCATTCATTTTAATTCGGCTGACATTGTACAGATTTATTAAATTTTTCATTTGAGTTCGGCCGGGACTGTACGCACATTTAAAATTTTTCATTTTAGTTCGGCTGCCACTCCAATGCGTATTGTTCTCTGAGTTATTGGGACAATGTCCTTTCATATCATCGAGAAAGAACTTTATGCTTAAATAAACAGAAAGCATGGTTACAGCATACTCTACCGCGGAACTCTTTGACATTGTTCTAATCAAAAATATATTTCCAATAATAAGGTATGTGACCCCAATAACCACTAATAACGTCTTCAGACATATTAATACGCATGACTAAGGACATCAATCTGCTGTTATTAATATTTTCTTGTTGAAACAAACGATTGTTACCTTTACGATGAACTTTTT